ACTCTTTCCACTGCTGGCCTTAGTATTTGAGAAGTGCGAGCTGGCCACCTGCTCCCCTCGAGACCCCTCCTCCTCCCTGTCCGCCTCCTCCCACCTCCCCGGCATGGCCAGCCACAGCGACGTCTGCTCCTCGGAGTCCTTCAACGACGACATCGCCGCCTTCGCCAAGCAGGTGAGCCGCGAGGACCAATCGGAGGAAAGGAAAGGAGGAGCCCGATGACGGCGAGGTTATTCATTTCATTATTTTTTTAACGGTTGAATTTGTGCTGCAGATTCGCTCGGAGAAACCCATTTTTTCTTCCAATCCTGAGCTGGATAACTTGGTAAGATGCACCAAACAAAACTGGGTTAATGTGCAAACCTTTGCTTTTTCTCACATTGCATTCTGGGATATATTACATATATGTATAAAATAATCGTCAGCTCCTCTCTATTAGATGATCCAGGCCATCCAGGTTCTTCGTTTTCATTTACTGGAGCTGGAGAAGGTTGGTGAGATTTGAACTTTTTGAAGCAGGGTTCTGTGTAAAATGCATGAATAATAATCATCTTACCTGTTGTGGATAACTCTTTGAACAGTGTTACCTCAGACATGCTAACAGCTAACCCAAATGGTAAAGATCAACAGTCATATCCCCACTAAAAATCTAAATTCTTTCAAAGCTTATAGCAGTCATGTAAATGTTATTATTAACCTTCCTGCTGGACTGACGTCCAAACTGGTAACATTTGATTTCTGATTCTGATACTGAGTAAAACTCAGGCTGGTATCAGTGATACTGATACTTTGTGTAAATACACCTAATGTGTAAATCTAAAAAAATAAGTGTTTTCCACAAATACAAAAGATCAAAGTAGTTTATTAATTTTAAACTCAGAAGTATACTGTATTGATTTAGAGTCCTCATTTACTTTATAACCAAGCTAATATAACAGAAAAACCAAACAGAGTACATAATCAAATGAAATATGTGAAAATTGTGTTTTAAACAAAGAAAAACATCATGTAAAATTATAAAACCATGCTAATAAACTATTGTTTACTTATCCACAACTACAATAAAAATTTAAACTTTCATCTTAAGTACATGAACATAACATGAAAATATTAAACATGTACAGTAACATCTACAGACTGAGTGACTGAGCACAGACGCATTACCCAGGCGGAAGAAAAAGTAGTTCCCACCGACTGTGTAGGATTTAGACAAGATTTCAGTCATTTAGTTTGTTTCCACTTTGTTCCTGGCAAAAACCTCAAATGACTGAAATATCAAATAATCAATATTTTGACTTTGGCATCACAAAATTATTGATGTGGTCTTTCAGCTGCTCTTGGGTCAAATGTGGGTCAAAGATCCACAAGTGAACCAAGGACAGCAGGAAAGAAAAATCATAATGTTGCTGTCAATCTCACATTAGAGTTTGCAGAAACATTGTGTTTCTGTAGGAAGTGACCTCAGATTGCAGTCAAAGAGCTACAGCTAGTTGCTGCTGTTTGTAACAATCGTAGAATTCATTGTGAAACTGATGTGAAAAGGGTGTTTGCAGGAACTGCTAATAAATAAATGAGGTTAGAGGTGTTATTAGGTGTCAGTGATCTGCTTTAATCCTGTCAGAGTTAAACTCTGCAGTGTAGCTTTGAACTGAGGCCATTCAAAGAGCTATCCACAACAGGTAAGATATTACTTGTTTGTATCTTTTATACTGAACTCCATTTTAAAATGGCTGAAGTATCACTTTAAGGAGTAACTTTGTTTCTGAAGGTGCACGACCTGTGTGATAATTTCTGCCATCGCTACATCACCTGCCTGAAGGGGAAAATGCCCACAGATCTGGTCCTGGATGAGCGGGAGGGGGGCTCCAAGTCTGACATGGAGGACTTTGGCGGATCCTGCACCAGTCTGTCAGAGCCGGTCCGTCTCGGCACGGTGAACACGTCGAACCTGACTGTGTTCTGGGATGTTCCTTGTAACTCCGCCTCTCTTCCCCATCCCTCCCTCCAGAACGCGTCGTGGTTACGCGAGCCGGACGAATGTGCCACCACCCCTCTGGGAACACCCGGCACCTGCGGGCTGCCTTCACACGGCACGGCCGACAACTGCAGTGACGCAGGTATACACACACACACACACGCACACACACACACACACACACACACACGTAAACACTGACAGGGAGCTGTAAAAGTTTTACACAGCTGCTAAATCCTGTAAAATGTTTGATGGTTTACATTTATGTGGCAACTTTTAACCTGTGTGGTTGTGTGAGGGTGGTCACACAGTAACAACAGAGCTGTTGCTGGTAAAACTCCGAATTCAGTGTTTCCCCCACAAATCACATAAAAAGGTCAAGACAGAGCTGTTATTGTAATTACCTGAGCCATGTTTGCCTTAAAACAACATTCTTAGCCTTTTAAAAAAGAAAAAGAGCTGTTCTTTCTTAAGGGTTGGATTTATTTGGATAAAACTGAAGACCTCGAGTTAGTGATACGAACCCACAGCTACGATCACGTCAAATTTGAGCTCAGTATATATAAAACTGGCTGAGTTACAGCTGTGTTTGTGTTGATTAATGTTGATTAGCTGCCGAGGCCATCCTAAATTTGAGTGACTCCAAATTTTAAAGAACCGTAGGTGTTAATTCAACAATTAAATTCTGAAAGTGGAATCAAAATCGGTCAATTGTTTCAGGAAACATTTTGCTAACAGACAAGCATGATTATAACCCAACAGATCTTGCAGAAAATGTTCAATAAATACCTTGTATCATGTGCAGCAGTTCCAGTATTTTTTGAGGAACTCGCAGCTTCTAACACACATAATTTTAGCTGAATGTTTACAAATCTAACTGAGTTAGAGCTGTATTTGTGTTTTCTAAAATTAGCCAGCTGTTGTGGTCTTCTTGAATCGTATTTGCTCCAAAAATTAATCTGTTGTAGATATACATTTAAAGATTACTTTCTGCAAGTTTTTATTAAAATTTGTCCAGCAGTGGATGAGATATTTTGCTAACAGACAGTTACAAAAACACTTAAATATAAATACACCAAAAGGCCTTTCACATTTTGGTAGCAGCTGATAAAAAAAGCAGATCAATCAGATGAAACATTTTCTAATGTGCTAAATATACATGAAGTTTTTATATTTGTTGAAGAACTCACCTTAAATTTACTCAGTCCTCAGAAGCATCAGTTTAAACTCAACATCAAAGCAGAAAACCTTGTTTTTGCTAAGAAGAAAAATTGAGAAAATAAAAGTTTTCAGGGTTTTGACAATCAAACCCAATGAAATAGCTTCATATTTCCGTGTTGACTTGAACGCGACGCGTCTTCCTGCAGGTGACGGCCTGGATGGAGGTGTGGCCTCCCCCAGCACGGGAGAGGAGGACGAGTGCGACAGGGACAGGAGGAACAACAAGAAGAGAGGCATCTTCCCCAAAGTGGCCACAAACATCATGAGAGCGTGGCTCTTCCAGCACCTCACAGTGAGCTGCCTTTTTTTTTTCTTCTCACCAAACGTAATCATTACGAGACCACCAAACAAAAAGTGTGAGGCCAGACAAAGACAGCTTGTGTTCAGGGTGGAGAGAAAAGTTACAGATGAAAAGGATTTAGTGTGGGGAAAAAAACATCAAGAACGAGCGCAGACAAAGGAGGGAAAGCGAGTGCAAAATGGAGGTCAATTAAATTAAAGGAAAAGATGGAGGATTAAGTGATTATGAGAATATGCTGGCTGCTGGATAAATGTAGAAGTGATAGAAATGGAGTGTGTAATTGTTGGTGAGGTGGTTAGATCAGTAATTAGCAGCTAAATGAGGCAGGTCAAATGTTGCTCTGCTGCAGTTATTACAGTGTGTGTGTGTGTGTGTGTGTGTGTGTGTGTGTGTGTGTGTGTGTGTGTGTGTGTGTGTGTGTGTGTGTGTGTGTGTGTGTGTGTGTGTGTGTGTGTGTGTGTGTGTGTGTGTGTGTGTGTGTGTTAGGAGGAGAACAGAGAAGGGCTTTAGTGAGGCTTTAAGTGTCAGATGGGAGTTCAGATGCAGGGTCTGCAGAGTTCACACACATGCAGTATTTTAGTTTCAGATCCCAGGTTTTCTTTTGTTTTGTGACTTAATAAATGAACATTTTTAATTGTCTGTTCTTTCATTTCCAACTCCACCCACAGTTTTAGAAAACTCATGCAGCTTGAATGAAACTAGTGTGTGACTTCAGGACAAAATGAACACGTTTCCCCATAGACAAAGGTAGCACCTTGGTGGAAGCAGTGAACGTGTAGCTCAGACACTCTTTACAGTAGAAACAGTGTTGCAACGGCTCACAGGAAGTTGAACTTAACAGGCATGAATTAACATTTTAGTCCCGTCAATGGTTTTAAAGGGGACATGTCAAGCAAAATCCGCTTTTTTTTAGCTGTTAAATACATTGTGTTGTGGACTTGGAGTCTGTAGGAGAGCAAAAAAATAGAATTTAGTTTCTCCCGGTGCTGCGTAGATACCTTTATATTGTGTTTGTGTCGCATTTCTCAACCCGTTCAGTTTGGTCAGACTCTGGTTCCAACATGTCAGGCTGGATGACAAGTCCTCTGTTGTTGACATCTTTTAGTTAAATTGTAAATAAAAAGGTTTCTGCTCTGCTATATAGTCTTCAACCCCTCTATCAAACTAAAATGAACTGCCCTGGAACCTGGAAGTGGGCGGGGCTTAAAGCACCCTGTTTGGATTTAAAGAGACAGCTTCAAAATGAGTTGATCTGAGACACACCTCAGAGAAGGGGGTGAAAGAGGGTCAATAAGGAGGAATTCAGCACAAGGCATTGCTGTTCCACTTTATATGGACCCCAACTGAAGGATTTAAATGTGGAAACAGAAGGGTTTAAAAGCAGGACATGTCTCCTTTAACACAATTGCATTTTAAATTTTTGAATTTTTGGACATTTTACTGCAAACTTTTCTCATGATGTCTCTGAGCTGTTTAACTTTGTGGAAAAAAAACTGTAAATATTTTTCCACAGTCTTTACATTTCATATGTAGTTTATAAATCAACAAACATTTATATCTTCTTTTCTGCTCTAAATTTATTTCTGCCTGTCTTATTAAAAATGTTTTCAGGACGTGACAGTGTGGGGCTTCCATACAGGCACAACTTAAACATTTCATCTTAGTTTCCTTCTAAAATTTAGTTAAATGAACATTGTTGTTGTTATTAAATTAAATCCCAAAATTACAGATTTTTTTCTATTTATTGTTGCCATTTAACCTCCACCCAACCAGTGTGATTAACCCTCGTCTCTGTGGATCTTTCTAGCACCCGTACCCGTCAGAGGAGCAGAAGAAGCAGCTGTCGCAGGACACGGGGCTGACCATCCTGCAGGTCAACAACTGGTCAGTGCTCTCCTTCCATCGCTACACGAACACCAGCTAACACTGCCTCCCGTTAGCATGAAGCATCACCTGCAGCCGTGTCACGGAGGCGCTGCCGCTCCGTGTTTTACCGCCTTCATAAACCTTCAGGGTGAATTAAAACAGGGATCACTTTTACAAGACTCTCTGAGAAGATTATAATCCAGTTTAGTGGAGCATCTTTTATGGTGGTTGGGCAGAAAAATGTCCTGCCAGGCTTTTTTTTTTCTTCTTCTTCTTTTCCTGCTCAGGCTGAAGCAGTAAAATCTGTTGCTCCATAAAACAGAACTACCAATCAATATCCAATAATCAGATTATTTACTGCTTCTAAATCTCAGTTTTACTGTCTGAACGCCGAACCAGAAACCTTTCTTTTTAATAATTCCTCAGTGACGTGTTTTCTGTACGTCTCAGCTGGTTTATGTGCTTCACGTTAAACAGATGACTTGGTTGTTTCGAAGTGTACATATCTACATGTGCGACTTGGCGGCAGCAGCACACGCAGATCGATGCAGATCAATCAATTATCACAGAGCCCATCGATCTGGCTCCGCCCTAACGCTGATTTACTCTGCCCCCTGAAAGGGTTAAGTGGTTGTAAAAGGGAAAAGGTTAATAGTCTCCCGCTCAGCCTTTTTCTCCATTAACGCTTGGCCTTTTACGACACCCCCCTCTCTCTCTCTCCTGCTCACTTCCTTTATGTCTCTCGCCCCCACCCATCCTGTGCAGGTTCATCAACGCCAGGAGGAGAATAGTCCAGCCGATGATTGACCAGTCAAACCGCTCAGGTCAGTCCTCACTGCTTTTTTAAACACAGAAACCAAACGTTTGTACATTCTGTGTGATTTCTGAAAGAGTGTGTGGTCTCACAGGTCAGGGGGGACCCTACAGTCCAGAGGGAGCCGCTCTCGGGGGTTACGGACTCGATGGGCAGGCCCACCTCGGGCTTCGAACAGCAGGTACAGCAGGGCAGGAGGTCCACTGGTCCTGGACCTCTGACATCCAGTGAAAAAGTGTCGGAGAAGCCTCACCTACCACGTTAAATTTGACCTAAAAGTCTGTAAATTTAGTCAATAATAAGTCAAACTTACACACATTTTTATGCCCATTTTTTGTTCTATAATATTATACAAATAATGTAGTTTCTTGTGTCTCAGAGCCCTTCTCTCAAAAACAAACAAAAAAAGATTAAAAAACATAAAAACCACCATCCTGACTTCTGCTGAAAATACTGTCCAGACCACAGGCTGTGAAGTTATCTGCAGCTGAAAATAGTCTCCTCCTGTTTGTGAGAAAATGCAGTGAAATGTTCTGAGACATTGGGCCTCATGCAAGAACATGTTCGTATTCTTATCCTAAATTTCTCTTACTTTTGTTCGTACAAAGGG